GCCTCAGTCCCAGAGTTCATCTCTCCAGTGAAGCACTTTTGAGGAAGGAAAAGCCCTCTGGACAGGCGAGTAGAGTGCTGTAGCTGGTTGTAACATGTAGCCCTCCGCCCCACTAGTTATGGATTTCTGATAGGCTAGATGGGTAGCTGCCAAGTCTGGGACCCAGCAGTTCAAGCCACTGGGCAATGAGTCTTCCTTTAGTTCTGGGCCCCCAGATGTGGGCAGTGAATTCAGCAGGCAGTTACTGTCCCCATTCTCTATGATGCAGTGGTGGTGATATTTACACATTACTCAGATTCACGGGAGCCTCATCTCCATCTGGTCTATGTTGGCGGCCTCCGCTGTGCAGTCAGAGACCTCTCCCCTGACTCCTCTCGAGGGCAGGGGTCACATCTTCCTGGTCTCTTTGTCCTCAGAACCTTGCCTCATGCCTGCCATGAGGCTCCTCAGTGGCTGTGCAATGAATGCTCCTTGCACGAGTGAAATGGGCAGTGTGGAATGTGAGAAGCAAACCTCACTGGGGCCCGGGCTTTCTCATCCATCATCCCAGCAGTTTCTGGGTGCCGCGTTGCTATGCTAAGTCTTCGCATTGCTTCATGTTACCATCATGCTGACTCTGTTACCACCTCCTCTGAGGACAGGTCATCTTGGCTGACAGAGGACTTGGAGCCCTACCTGTCCCGAGAGCTGCAGAAGGGCAAAGCTGGGCTTCACACTCAGGTGGGCAGATGCCAGAGCTCCCATACTTGAGTGTTCCGTGTTGTTTTCTGCATGCCCTCCATGAAGTTCCCTTGTACGAAGCCTCCTCTTTGGAGTTCACTCCGGCTCTGGTCAGGGCCTCAGATAGGTGGGAGGAGGCCATTGCCATGCAAGCGCTGAGTCCTGGTTCCACGACTTACCAGCTGCTTGGCTTTGGGCAAATTGCTGTAAATCTCTGTGCTGTAATTGATTCTTTTATGACTTGGGATGGAGCATCTCTGTTGGGAAGCTGCTAACTAGGCAGTTGCTCCAATTCCTGCCCTGCTTGCCTGGGGCTGTTCCTGCTGGATGGTCCCTCCGGATGGTCCCTGCCTTGCCAAGTGAGCACAGTAGTGGCATGGAGAGGCAGAGCTCACCTAATTAGTGTGGGCGGGCTAGTTTTTCCTTAGCCTGGCCAAATTCTTAGTAGGCATCTGATTGCCTGCCAATGCACGTGGCTGCCACAGAGTTAATCTGCTGCCCCAGGGAAGTTTATTCAGCTGGCTGAGACGAGCCTGGTACTTGGGGACACACAGTCCCTGTGATTTGCTGCCCCTGTCATCAGGAAACATTACTGCCCTGCCACAGTGTGGGGCACCATGAAGGCATCTGCATTGGCTCAGAACCCACCTCTCTGTCAGGTGGGCCACAGGCCTTGGTGTGGTTGGTCTTGCATGTGGATGTTCAGCCAGGACCCACAGGCTTCTCACTGCATGAAACCAGGTTAGGGGGGCAGGGGCCTAGACTTAGAGAGCTATTAGCGCAGATTTATACAAGTGTGTGTGTGTGTGTGTGTGTGTGTGTGTGTGCAGGCTCAAGGGGACTTCCCAAAGCTCATGGAAGAACAGAACTAAAAGTAATTTATTTGGTGCCAAACGTTTTTGAAATCCACGCATGCTTTATTCATAATGTACTTTTCTCATGAATGATTTGAAGGTCCCTCATATGCAAGCATTTTAATCTTTTTTGGCATCAAAATAAACTTACCCTTTAATTCTATTTTCTGTGAACTTCTTGAAGTATCCTTGTGTGTATTTCTTTATAAAAGCATGATAAAAGCTCATTGCAGAAAATTCAAAAAATACAAAACCATTTGAAATAACCCATGATCCCATGACTCCAAGCAAACTAATATTAGTATATAGATATGTTTTCATTTTTTCTACTTGAGTACTTTTATGCATTTGAAATTACATTGTACATTCAGTGTGGCATCCTGGTTTTTTTTTTTCCGTGTAACTTGTTTCCATCTGTTCTAATTATAAACCGAATTATAAACCGAACACTGTGACTTGGTCCACACTGTTGTCACTTTTGTCTTCTTCCCCGTGCCAGGTCCTGTTCATGGCTGGAGGGGCAGAAATATGGTGGCAGCTAGTGCTAGAGTGTGCCTGCTGACTGCTGGGCCGGGGTCCCACACTCTGCAGGGCTAGCTCATCCTCACACGGCCCTGGGGAGGGACTACTCACTTAGGACAAGGAGAGAGGGGTTTTTGAGACATGGGAGGAGTCATTAACACTGCCCAAGTGCTGTTCTAGTCCATACTGTGTTCTAAGCATTTGGCTTCTATTACCTTGTTGACCTGGCATGACAGCCCATCTTACAGATGGCTAAACTGACAGACACGGATGTTTGGTGGCTCACTTAGGACACACAGCCAGGGCTGGCAGGTGAGGAGAGATGCCCTGTCCTGAAGCTGGTGCTCCTAACCCTCATGGTGCCTGCCTCTCCAGGCAGGTGCTGGGTCTCAGTGTTGGGGGCTGGTGCCATCCATTGATTGATTGATTGGTAGGAGAATGAGTCCCTTGGATATAGTATCCTACTTGTCAGGGCATGGAAGGGTTGTGTGTATGTGTGTGGGGGACAAGGCCCACAGGAACGCAGCCCATGAGTGGGGCTGTGGAGGACAAGTGGGACCCCTCTGTGGCGACAGTGGGCCTGGCCCTCTCCACAGAGGCACAGGCTGTGCTGGTGGAGGAGAGCTGGCAGCATGTGGGCCAGAGTGCCCTCCTGAGGCCCCTCAGTGTGTGCGCTCCTCCTGCTGCAGGAGCGCTCGCTCAGAGCCTGCCCGTGCTTCCTGCCCATCCCCGGCTGTGTGAACCGGGCAGCTGACATAGTGGCTGCCATTTACACAGACTGTGCTCTAGAAACAGCTTGGAGAGGATGTTGGGAGGTGAGGTTTTGCAAGGCCTTGGTGTCTTGTCTGACATGGGCTGTGCTTAGGAAGGGGGTGGCTGCTGGTGTGGCTCATGCATAGGCCATGGGGGCAGTCAGCTTGCATTTCCTGTGTTCTTGGGGCCTTGGAACTGGCCCTAGTAAGCAGGGTCCACTTGGCTCTCTGTCACCTGGCATCTCTTATCCATTCCATTCCTGAATGGATTGACCAGGCTAAAAAGCAAAAAAGTGGAGTTCATTAAAATCCATATAATATCTTTATAGACTTCCTGGGTTGCTGGAGGGTCTCGGTCCCATCCGTGGTGCGGGAGGAATGGCATAACTTCCGCCTGGAGCTGCTACAGCACCCAGAGCAGGTGTCCCAGGGTAGTTTGGACCTCAGGGCTGCGGTGCAGACTGGAGAGTAGGAACACACACAGGCTTCAATGATCTTTGTGGGCTAGGGCAGTGCCTTGCCCACTAAGGATGGCTGCTGTGAATGTCTGAAGTCCCCACGTGCTGCGGCTACACAGGAGACAGACCACAAAACCAGTGTGTGAAGGCGGTTTTGAGCGTGACATCTATTAAGCTGTGCCACATACCAAGATCGTGCTGGACACAGCACAGGACCAGAATCCTCCTCCTACTAACCATCGCTGGCTTCTCTTCCTCCCCTCAAGTCTCTCTGGGAGGGTTTCCTCAGTGCTGCATACCTGGACCCTAGGCTCTGCAGTGCACTGCCCAGGAGCCATGACTGACCCACCCTGCATGTGCTCGGTGTGTCTGTGTCATTCTGCTGGCTGGCCGAACACTGGACCTCACTGCTCAGGGCTGTGCGGCATCTGTGCTTGCCCCTGTGAGCAGGAGGGCAGTGGGGCTGGGAGCTTCTCAGTGGAGCAGAGTTGGAAGCTGACCTTGTGGCACAGACATTGGAGGTTGTCAGTTTTCCCAGGTGTGCTGGCTGCAGAGAATACTGGGCCTTGGTTGGATGTCTCACATCTCACTCCCAGTTACTAATGAAGGAGGGATGGCCACTTCCCAGGCCACACTGGGTGTCCCCTGTGTCTCTTCCTGTCCTTCCATAGGGTGCCTTGCTGTGAGTGATGATGACCCCACTCCATTCTCTGCCGCGGTCACCGTGTGCAACCTCTGCACCAGCCCCTGATGCAATGATGATGCCCCCTGCCCTGTTCTCTGCAGAGGTCACCATGCACAGCTTCTTTTTTTTATTTTTTGACAGGCAGAGTGGACAGTGAGAGAGAGAGACAGAGAGAAAGGTCTTCCTTTGCCATTGGTTCACCCTCCAATGGCCGCCGTGGCCAGCATACTGCGCTGATCCGATGGCAGGAGCCAGGTGCTTCTGGTCTCCCATGGGGTGCAGGGCCCAAGCACTTGGGCCATCCTCCACTGCACTCCCTGGCCACAGCAGACAGCTGGCCTGGAAGAGGGGCAACCGGGACAGAATCCGGCGCCCCGACCGGGACTAGAACCCAGTGTGCCGGCACTGCAATGCGGAGGATTAGCCTAGTGAGCCACGGTGCTGGCCACCGTGCACAGCTTCTGCACCAGCCCCCAATGCAGTGGCCGTCGCCCCCATGCTGTCTGCAGACAAACCGCAGCTCAGGATTTACCATTCTGCACAGTGCTCCAGGCCCAAGGCCGCTTCCTCGCTGGCCCTGCCTGAGTCTCTGCTCTTAGCTGTGTGTTTCTAATTCTGGATTCCTTTCTCTGAAGCAGTGTCCCTGCTTTACATGGGTCTGTTTCCCTCACAGCAGTACAATACAGAAAATGTTCATGGTGGAGAAACTTAGCTTCACTTGCCAGAGCCACAGGCCTTCATTTCATCTGCAGATCCCGCGGCTCCCCAGGAGGGACGGTGGCCTGGCCTTGGGCCTGTGCCTTGGTGTGATGCATTCTCCCTCCTCTTTGTGCCTCACGGCCTCTTCTGATTCAGGGCTTTTCCTAGGACTTTGCTTTCTGACATCTTGAATGGTTCTCACTTTTGTTTTTGAGCGTGTGCCAGAATTTCCCAGCCGGGTTGGTGTCAGTCTCATTGTGCCTCTGCTCTGCCATCACCATCAACATCACTATTGTTGTTATCATTGCAGAGAAACTGTATGGCAACTTCCTGAGCTGGAAGCTGGAAGAAACCCTCGCCCAGTTCCCCCTGCAGCCTGGGCAAGCAGCCACCTTCACTGTCACCATCAAAGCGAGCCTGGACTTCTCCTGCCAGGAGGGTCTCCTGCAGGACCTGAGTGATGGTAAGCGGCTCCCTCATTTCTGAGAGCTCACCTGCTCCCAGGTGTGTGTTGTAGTCAGCTCTCTGTGGCACCTGTGGGGAGCAACTCGGACTAGACTAAGTTACTGGAATTAAGACTTATTCTATGCATCTGCTCTCCCACAATATGGCGCTGAGAAGGGAGAAACAGCTTTACACAGCTGCCTCCAGTTCAACCAATAAACTGTAGGACCTACTCCTGATTGGAGGAGAGCAGCGTACTCGGTGTGTGGGTAGCAGAGTTGGGATTGGTGGAAGAGGACTATAAAGGAGGAGAGAGACAACATGCACCAGGAACATCTGAGGGGAACATCTAAGAGGAACACCTGTGCATCCCCTGAGAGAGCCGGCCGGTGGTGTGCCACTCCCCTGCGGAAGTGGGGAAAGTGGCTAGGGGGAATCGCCCTTCCACGGAGGTGGAAGGGTCGGTAGCCAACCCGGGAAGAACCAGCAGCAAGCCTGGGAAGGGCCGAGCAGATGAAAGAACAGCGCAGGGTCCTGTGTCGTTCCTCCACGAAGAGGGGGAGCGACATAATGGTGCCGTGACTCGGATAGGAAACCTAGGAGGGAAGAAACAGGAAGAAGTGGGAAAATACTGGAGAGAGAGACTAGTAAAGAGCCTAGGGAAAAGCCGGACGGAAAAGGTGCCGGAAGAAGCTATCAAAAGCCTAGGCATAGACTCAGATACGGACTACGGGGGGAAGCTGGGAGAAATCTCTAAGGTCGAAAGCGAAAGTGAAAGCTAGAACAAACAGACTTGGATACGGACTGCGGGGAGAAGCCAGGAGAAATGAGGGAGGAATATTGTTGGAAGAAAACTTAGGGAAACATACAGGGTAGAGAAAAATGTTAGGGAGGATGAAGCTGCGGGGGCAGGCCGAGGCGGAGACGTAAGCCAGCTTGGAATTCTTTAAGTCAGCCCGGGGAGCAAAAGGTGAAAAGTTAAACCAGAGGTGGAAACGTGGGCCAGGTTGGAATCCGTCAGATTAGCCCTGGGAGCAAAAGACGGGAAGCCAAACCATAAGGCGGAGACACGTAAGCTAGGTTGAATTCACCAGGTTAGCCCAGGGAACTTAGATTGAATACCGGTGGCGGAACCGTAAGCTACGCTGTGTGACTCGCGGAAGCCGCCGCATGCAGAGAGAGCGCACGGGGTGTGAATAGATAGGGAACGTGGGGCTAGTGTGAGGCCGTGGTGCGGGCGCGAAGGGGCGCGGAGACCGCGGAGTGCGCGCGCAAAGCCGGGAAGCCACGCAGATGAGAGAAGCACGGGCTGAAGTGGCTCAGAGCCGGGAAGCTGCCAAGAGGCAGCCTCGGGGCGGGCGCCGGGAAGCCGCAGGGATAAGAGAAACAGAAGTTTTAGAAGTAAAATGAGAGAAATAGGAATGCTGGCAGATAGAAGTAAAATGGGAGAGATAGGAATGCCCGGAGATAGAGAAATAGAGAAAAACAAGGCCTCCCCTCAACATGGCAATGAGAGAGCTTGGATTTGGTCTGCCTGATTAGTAAGACGATAAGCACCTGTGGGTGGCTGCAGGTCACAGAAGACAGGCACGTTATCAACACCAATAAGTCTCCCCACAATAAGGCAATGAGAAGGCTTGGATTCGGTTTGCCTGATTGTTAGGGCTTGTAAGCACCTGCAGGCAGTTCTAGCAGAGCAGAGCATGTGCTGCAGGGCACCGAACACAGGCACGCATCAGCGCCTAAAAACCTCCTCACAACATGGCAAAGAGAGGACCCGGATTCGGTTTGCCTGATTGATAGTGCTTGTAAGCACCTGTGGGCAACTCCAGCAAGCAGAGCAGAGTGTGAGCCATGGGGGCACCGAAGACAGGCGCGTATCAACGCCAAAAATAAAAAGAAAGGGGGATCTGTGGGGAGCAACTCGGACTAGACTAAGTTACTGGAATTAAGACTTATTCTATGCATCTGCTCTCCCACAATATGGCGCTGAGAAGGGAGAAACAGCTTTACACAGCTGCCTCCAGTTCAACCAATAAACTGTAGGACCTACTCCTGATTGGAGGAGAGCAGCGTACTCGGCGTGTGGGTAGCAGAGTTGGGATTGATGGAAGAGGACTATAAAGGAGGAGAGAGACAACATGCACCAGGAACATCTGAGGGAACACCTGTGCAGCCCCCGAGAGAGCCGGCCGGCGGTGTGCCGCTCCCCTGCGGAAGTGGGGAAAGTGGCTAGGGGGAACCGCCCTTCCACGGAGGTGGAAGGGACGGTAGCCAACCCGGGAAGAACCAGCAGCAAACCCGGGGAGGGCCGAGCAGATAAAAGAACAGCGCAGGGTCCTGTGTCGTTCCTCCGCGAAGAGGGGGAGCGACAGCACCCACCACCGGTCATGTGACTCGCTCAACCGAGACCTTGCCCCTGCACTTGGTTAGCAGCGTGGCTTACTGCAGGCACATTATAGAGACAGTTTCTCAATTCCCACTCTTGACCATCTTGTCCTGATGTGCTAGGTGGTTGTCCTGAGGGAGTGGAATGCTGTGATTTTTCCCCCAAGTGTACCTGCTGTGTCGGTGGGACACACAGTGGTGATGATGGAGTTCTCCCATCTGGTGATGCCAGTAAGGAGACGGAGCTGGGGGCAATGGGAATTGTATCTGCTGCAGCACCAGGCCTGGCCGCGTGGGGATGTGAGTTCACGGGTTAGCTGTGTCAGGTTGTCACATGCTCTTCTGGAGGCCTTGGGGGGTGTGTTAGTCAGCTCAAGCTACTGTAACAAACCCCACACCTGGCCTGGCCTGACCACAGACATTGATTTTCTGACGGTTCTCAGCATTGCAAGTCTGACCCAGGTGCTAGCATGGTTGGGTCCTGGTGAGGGTGGCCATCTTCTTGCTGTGTTCTAATGGGGTGGAGACAGATCAGCTCTCTGGTATTTCTTCCCCTTCTTTTTATTTTTTTAAGATTTATTTATTTACTTGAAGGGCAGTTATGGGTGTGGGATGAGGGAGACACACAGGGACACATGTGCATGCCCACACACACACAAACACACAGAGAGGGAGAGAAGAAAGATTTTCCATCTGCTGGTTCACTCCCCAAGTAGCCACAATGGCTGGGACTATGCCTGGCAGAAGTCAGGAATCTGGAAAACCATCTAGGTTTCCAGTGTGTGTGTCAGGGGCCCAAGCTTGGGCCATCTCCTGCTCCTTTTCCAGGCATGTTAGCAGAGAACTGGATCAGAAGTGGAGTAGCCAAGACATGAACTGGTGTTCACATGGGGTTCTGGGGACACAGGCGGTGACTTAACCACCTGTGCTGTAACACCAGCCCCAGTAAGAACATTTCAATCCTGTGTTTTAAGGACTTTAGAGTCCTCGTATACAGTGCGTGACTTTCATCTCCATGAACATGCTGTAAATGACAGACCCTCCTGTGGGTATTTTTGGTCTGGGTATTCCTGGGTGTGTTGCAGCTGCTGTTCCTTGTCCATTCACCTGCCAAGGGGCATTCATGCATTTCCATTGTCTTGGCTGTGGTGAGCAGTGCTGCAGTGGACATGTAAGTGAAGACATGGTTCTGCCATATACATATATGTATTCTTGTATATATCACATACACACATATTCACATGTACAAATCACATACATATACACATGCATATTACACACATGTCACACACAGATATCACACACATGTACATACACACATGACATACATGTACGTATACACCTTACATGCACATGTGCATAAATCCGGATGTGGGCTGGTGCGGTCGTGGGAGAGCTTGAGTTGTTTTTAGCCTTTAGGGACCCTCTGTGCTTGTTTTCAAAATGCTGTACTGACTGACGTTCCCCTGAGAAGTGTGCTAGATCCCTCTTTCTGCACCTGTGGCCTGGGTCTTTTGGTAATAGCCAGTCTGGTGGAGTGACATGATGTCTTACATGGTTTTATTTTTATTTATCTATTTTAAAGATTTATATGTTTATTTGAAAGTTAGAGTTGGAAGAGAGAGGGAGGGACAGAGAGAGGGCTCTTTCATCTGGTGGTTTGCTCCCCAGATGGCCGCAATGGCCAAGCTGTGCCAGGCCGAAGCCAGGAGCCAGGAGCTCCTGGATGCAGGGGCACAAACACGTGGGCTGTCCTCCACTGCTTTTCCCAGCTCATTAGCAGAGAGCTGGATTGGAAGGGAAGTGAGTGGGACAAAAACCAGTGCCCAGGTGGGATGTAGCGTCTCAGGTGGCAGCTTACCCACAGTGTCACAACACTGGCCTCTCTGTTGTGATTTTAATTTGCATTTCTCTGATAATTGGAGATGGTTACTTGTATGTCTTCTTTCGAGAAGTGTCCATTCAGGGGATGTTTTCTTGTTACTGATTCATTTGAGTTCTTTGTATTAAGATAGTAGCCCCTCACCTGATAAATGATTTCAAATATTCTCTCAGTGTGTGCGTCAGTTCTCTACTCTGTTGCTTGTTTCCTTTGCTTGGAGAAGGATTTTCTTGTATGCAATCTCATATGTCTATTTTTTGCTTTTGCCGCCCATGCCTTTGGGGTCACATCCAAGAAATTACTGCTCAGATCAATGCCATGGACCTTTCCCTCTGCATTCCTCTAGTCGTTTTAGAGTTTTGGGTCTTATGGTTAAGAATTTATTTACTTATTGGGATATGTGTTTATGTATGTGTGAATGTGTACATATATAGATATCAAGTCTCTAGCACAAACCACTATCACAGGCATTTAATTTTAATTTATTTTCATCTTATTTGAAAAGCAAAGGAGGTTGAGAGAGAGAGAAAGAGAGAGAGAGAGAGAGAAAGAGAGAGAGAGGGGAGAGGGATCTCCCATTTTCTAGCTCACTCCTACAATGCCCAAAATGGTCCCAGGGCTGAAACTAGGAATTAGGAACTAAATCCAGGTATCTGACATTGGTGGCAAGAACCCAGTTATTCGAGCCATCACCACTGCTTCCCAGGGTCTGCCCTGGCGGGAAGCTGGAGTCAGGAGCCTGAG